GATAAGGACAACTGATGATAGCGACGTAAGGACATCTGAAGTCAGGAAGGTAAGTACAACTGATGATAGGGAGGTAAGGACAGTCGCTGATGCCTGGAAGGTAAGGACAAGAAGTACAACCGGATGAGACTGATATCAGGAAGGTGAGGACAACTGATGATAGGGAGGTAAGGACACCTGAAGTCAGGAAGGTGAGGACAACTGATGATAGCGAGGTAAGGACAACTGATGTCAGGAAGGTAAGGACAACTGATGTCACAGAGGTAAGGACAACTGATGCCAGGGAGGTGAGGACAACTGATGCCAGGGAGGTGAGGACAACTGATGCCAGGAAGATGAGGACAACTGATGCCTGGAAGGTAAGGACAACTGATGAAAGTGAGGTAAGGACATCTGAAGTCAGGAAGGTAAGGACAACTGATGATAGCGAGGTAAGGAGAACTGATATCAGGAAGGTGAGGACAACTGATGATAGCGAGGTAAGGACATCTGAAGTTGGGAAGGTGAGGACAACTGATGATAGCGAGGTAAGGACATCTGATGTCAGGAAGGTGAGGACAACTGATGATAGCGAGGTAAGGACATCTGATGTCAGGAAGGTGAGGACAACTGATGCCTTGAAGGTAGGGACAACCGATGAGAGCGAGGTAAGGACACCTGAAGTCAAGAAGGTAAGGACAACTGATGATAGCGACGTAAGGACATCTGAAGTCAGGAAGGTAAGTACAACTGATGATAGCGAGGTAAGGAGAACTGATGTCAGGAAGGTGAGGACAACTGATGTCAGGGAGGTAAGGACAACTGATGTCAGGAAGGTGAGGACAACTGATGATAGCGAGGTAAGGAGAACTGATGTCAGGAAGGTGAGGACAACTGATGATAGCGAGGTAAGGACAACTGATGCCTGGAAGGTAGGGACAACTGATGTCAGGAAGGTGAGGACAACTGATGATAGCGAGGTAAGGAGAACTGATGTCAGGAAGGTGAGGACAACTGATGATAGGGAGGTAGGGACAACTGATGTCAGGGAGGTAAGGACAACCGATGCCAGGAAGGTAAGGACAACTGATGTCAGGGAGGTAAGGACAACTGATGATAGGGAGGTAAGGACAACTGATGTCAGGAAGGTAAGGACAACTGATGATAGCGAGGTAGGGAGAACTGATGTCAGGAAGGTAAGGACAACTGATGTCAGGAAGGTGAGGACAACCGATGCCGCAAAGGTAAGGACAACTAATGTCAGGCAGGTAAGGACAACTGATGATAGCGAGGTAAGGAGAACTGATGTCAGGAAGGTGAGGACAACTGATGATATGGAGAAAAGGACATCTGAAGTCAGGAAGGTGAGGACAACTGATGATAGGGAGGTAAGGACAACTGATGCCTGGAAGGTAAGGACAACCGATGATAGCGAGGTAAGGACATCTGAAGTCAGGAAGGTGAGGACAACTGATGATAGCGAGGTAAGGACATCTGAAGTCAGGAAGGTAAGGACAACTGATGATAGCGAGGTAAGGAGAACTGATATCAGAAGGTGAGGACAACTGATGATCGGGAGGTAAGGACATCTGAAGTCAGGAAGGTGAGGACAACTGATGATAGGGAGGTAAGGACAACTGATGCCTTGAAGGTAGGGACAACCGATGAGAGCGAGGTAAGGACACCTGAAGTCAAGAAGGTAAGGACAACTGATGATAGCGACGTAAGGACATCTGAAGTCAGGAAGGTAAGTACAACTGATGATAGCGAGGTAAGGAGAACTGATATCAGGAAGGTGAGGACAACTGATGATAGGGAGGTAAGGACATCTGAAGTCAGGAAGGTGAGGACAACTGATGATAGCGAGGTAAGGACAACTGATGTCAGGAAGGTAAGGACAACTGATGAAGGTGGGACAACTGATGACAGAGGTAAGGACAACTGATGCCAGGGAGGTGAGGACAACTGATGCCAGGAAGATGAGGACAACTGATGCCTGGAAGGTAGGGACAACTGATGAAAGTGAGGTAAGGACATCTGAAGTCAGGAAGGTAAGGACAACTGATGATAGCGAGTAGGAGAACTGATATCAGGAAGGTGAGGACAACTGATGATAGCGAGGGTAGGACATCTGAAGTTGGGGAAGGTGAGGACAACTGATGATAGCGAGGTAGGGACATCTGATGTCGGGAAGGTGAGGACAACTGATGATAGCGAGGTAAGGACATCTGATGTCAGGAAGGTGAGGACAACTGATGATAGGGAGGTAGGGAGAACTGATGTCAGGAAGATGAGGACAACTGATGATAGCGAGGTAAGGACATCTGATGTCAGGAAGGTGAGGACAACTGATGATAGGGAGGTAGGGAGAACTGAAGTCAGGAAGGTAAGGACAACTGATGCCTGGAAGGTAAGGACGAAACTTATGTCAGGGAGGTAAGGACAACTGATGTCAGGAGGTGAAGGACGGCTGATGTCAGGAAGGGGAGGTAAGGACAGCTGATGTCAGGGAAGGTGGGGACAACTGATGATAGCGAGGAAGGAGGGAACTGATGTCGGGAAGGTGAGGACAGCTGATGATAGGGAGGTAAGGACGGCTGATGTGAGGAAGGTAAGGACAACTGATGTCAGGAAGGTGAGGACAACCGATGATAGCGAGGTAGGGACATCTGATGTCAGGACGGTGAGGACAACTGATGATAGCGAGGTAAGGAGAACTGATGTCAGGAAGGTGAGGACAACTGATGATAGGGAGGTAAGGACAACTGATGTCAGGGAGGTAAGGACAACTGATGCCAGGAAGGTAAGGACAACTGATGTCAGGGAGGTAGGGACAACTGATGTCAGGAAGGTGAGGACAACTGATGATAGCGAGGTAGGGAGAACTGATGTCAGGAAGGTGAGGACAACTGATGATAGGGAGGTAAGGACAACTGATGTCTGGAAGGTAAGGACAACTGATGTCAGGAAGGTGAGGACAACCGATGCCGCAAAGGTAAGGACAACTAATGTCAGGCAGGTAAGGACAACTGATGATAGCGAGGTAGGGAGAACTGATGTCAGGAAGGTGAGGACAACTGATGATATGGAGGTAAGGACATCTGAAGTCAGGAAGGTGAGGACAACTGATGATAGCGAGGTAAGGACAACTGATGTCAGGAAGGTAAGGACAACTGATGCCTGGAAGGTGAGGACAACTGATGTCAGGAAGGTAAGGACAACTGATGATAGCGAGGTAAGGACAACTGATGATAGGAAGGTAAGGACAACTGATGCCTGGAAGGTAAGGACATCTGAAGTCAGGAAGGTGAGGACAACTGATGCCAGGGAAGGTGAGGACAACCGATGCTGCAAAGGTAAGGACAACTAATGTCAGGCAGGTAAGGAAAACTGATGATAGCGAGGTAAGGAGAACTGATGTCAGGAAGGTGAGGACAACTGATGATATGGAGGTAAGGACATCTGAAGTCAGGAAGGTGAGGACGACTGATGATAGCGAGGTAAGGAGAACTGATGTCAGGAAGGTAAGGACAACTGATGCCTAGAAGGTGAGGACAACTGATGTCAGGAAGGTAAGGACAACTGATGATAGCGAGGTAAGGACAACTAATGATAGGAAGGTAAGGACAACTGATGCCTGGAAGGTAAGGACATCTGAAGTCAGGAAGGTAAGGACAACTGATGCCAGGAAGGTAAGGACAACTGATGAGAGCGAGGTAAGGACAACTGATGTCAGGAAGGTGAGGACAACTGATGCCAGGAAGGTAAGGACAACTGATGCCTGGAAATAGAGGACAACTGATGCCTGGAAGGTGAGGACAACTGATGTCAGGAAGGTAAGGACAACTGATGTCAGGAAGGTAAGGACAACTGATGCCTGGAAGGTAAGGACAACTGATGCCTGGAAGGTAAGGACATCTGAAGTCAGGAAGGTAAGGACAACTGATGCCAGGAAGGTGAGGACAACTGGTGCCAGGAAGGTAAGGACAACTGATGCCAGGAAGGTAAGGACAACTGATGTCAGGAAGGTAAGGACAACTGATGCCTGGAAATAGAGGACAACTGATGCCAGGAAGGTAAGCACAACTGATGATAGCGAGGTAAGGACAACTGATGTCAGGAAGGTAAGGACAACTGATGCCTGGAAGGTAAGGACATCTGAAGTCAGGAAGGTAAGGACAACTGATGCCAGGAAGGTGAGGACAACTGATGCCAGGAAGGTAAGGACAACTGATGGTAGCGAGGTAAGGAGAACTTATGTCAGGAATGTAAGGACAACTGATGTCAGGAATGTAAGGACAACTGATGCCAGGAAGGTAAGACAACTGATGCCTGGAAGGTGAGAACAACTGATGCCAGGAAGGTGAGGACATCTGATGCCAGGAAGGTAAGGACAACTGATGCCAGGAAGGTGAGGACAACTGATGCCAGGAAGGTAAGGACAACTGATGCCAGGAAGGTAAGGACAACTGATGCCAGGAAGGTGAGGACATCTGATGCCTGGAAGGTGAGGACAACTGATGCCTGGAAGGTGAGGACAACTGATGCCAGGAAGGTAAGGACAACTGATGCCAGGAAGGTGAGGACAACTGATGCCTGGAAGGTGAGGACAACTGATGCCAGGAAGGTGAGGACAACTGATGCCAGGAATGTAAGGACAACTGATGCCAGGAAGGTGAGGACAACTGATGCCAGGAAGGTGAGGACAACTGATGTCAGGAAGGTAAGGACAACTGATGTCAGGAATGTAAGGACAACTGATGCCAGGAAGGTAAGACAACTGATGCCAGGAAGGTGAGGACAACTGATGCCAGGAAGGTGAGGACAACTGATGCCAGGAAGGTGAGGACAACTGATGCCAGATAGGTAAAAGCACCTTGTATCCTGGCCTGAAGATCAATGACCTGGCACTGTTTGCCGCTGGTTTTTACTACTCATTGAATGATATAAATCTGGTCTACAGTGTGCCGATTCCACTGGGATCGGTGTTTGACGCCGTGGATAAAATGTTGTCCGCCTACCTTTTCCCCAGAGACAGAACCGATCATCAAAGTAAATCTCTTCCTTTTCATGTTCAACTTCAGTTCGTCGAAGGCCTTCGTGAACGTGCTCCCGCCATTTTGCACGTGCAGATCCACGGAATCTAAGTTCAACACCTGGAAGAAAAAGTGAATATACGGTGACTATAATGACAATAAACTGATAATGAAAATGAAATATTTTGAAAAGCCAGTGATCGGGAAATATTTTATTGCTATGAAAACAGTAGATTTAAGAACATGTACGACTTTATGGATAACAACCAATTTTTGTATTTTCTTTCTTTGTTGCATGAAGTGAAGTTTCGATGTACATGGAACTGGGTTGACTGCTGTCAATATTGAGAAGCATACAGACGTTGTTATACGGAGAACTCCAAGTATCACATAAGTGAATGAAGCCAGACGAATCGACACAGTAGAGCGTCTTATTAATTACCTGTTCTTCTATATATGCGTCTCTTGACAATATCCCATCTACACGCACCTCTCATTACCTGGTTGTTCTCACTTCAGAGCGGTGTAAAGCGTCGTCGTGACTTGCAATACACAAGAACTGTGTACCATGAAGCGGGAGTGTTCTATATCTACTCACCAGTTTTACAAGGCCAGTAGATCAGGCAACAATAGATTTCACCATAATATTTTCAGTATTCTTAAGAATGAACTGCAGTTGCCCTTAACTGCAATCAGGTATTTTCGTCATCTTTGTTATCATTCAGATCACTATATAGAATATAAAGTGTTGTCAATCCTCTGTATAATCAATCAGTTTCTCTTCCTGATTGTGATCCTGTTCAGACATCAGCCACAATGACATGCCAGGTGACTCTAACCACAGAGCCAGTCATCCCACTGGCGCTGTTTATTGATGTCACGGAGCGTCAGTTCAAAGCCCTCCTGTCACACGACTGCTAGTTAGTCGCTCCAAGCCGTGCTCAATGTGATTAGCGCGAGGACCTGGCTCCAAGCTCCACACTGCATCATCAATAGCAGCACCTTGTTACAGCTGATCAGTAAGTTGTACTCGAGACACCACTGTTATGTCTGTTACCACAAGACGCTGTACTGTGATGGCCGTAAAGACAAGCGGTTGTATCCCCTGATTGCCGTAATAACAAGAAGCTGTACCCCCTGATGGCCGAAATGACAAGCATTTGTACCTTCTAATAGCCGTAATAACTTGAAGCTGGACCCCTTGATGACGGTAATGACAAGCTAATGTATCCCCCGATGGCCGTAATGACCAGAAGTTGTACCCCTGATGGCCGTAATGACAAGAAGCTGTAGCCCCCGATGGCCGTAATGACAAGAAGTTGTACCCCTGAAGGCCATAATAACAAGAAGCTGTACCCCTGATGACCGTAATGACAAGTAGTTGTACCTTCTAATGGCCGTAATGACGAGAAGTTGTACCCCTGATGGCCATAATGACAAGAAGCTGTAATCCTGATGGCCGTAATGACAAGAAGCTGTACCCCTGATGGCCGTAATGACAAGAAGCTGTACCCCTGATTGCCATAATGACAAGAAGCTGTACCCCTGATGGCCATAATGACAAGAAGCTGTACCCGTGATGGCCGTAATGACAAGAAGTTGTACCCCTGATTGCCATAATGACAAGAAGCTGTACCCCTGATGGCCGTAATGACAAGAAGCTGTACCCCTGATGGACGTAATGACGAGAAGCTGTACTGATGGCCGTAATGACAAGAAGCTGTACCCTGATGGCCATAATGACAAGAAGCTGTACCCTGATGGCCGTAATGACAAGAAGCTGTACCCTGATGGCCGTAATGACAAGAAGCTGTACCCCTGATGGCCGTAATGACAAGAAGCTGTACCCCTGATGGACGTAATGACAAGAAGCTGTACTCGTGATGGCCGTAATGACAAGAAGCTGTACCCCTGATGGCCATAATGACAAGAAGCTGTACCCTTGATTGCCCCCTGATGGCCTCTAATGACAAGAAGCTGTACCCCTGATGGCCGTAATGACAAGAAGCTGTACCGTAATGACAAGAATGCCCTAATGCCATAATGACAAGAAGCTGTACCCTGATGGCCGTAATGACAAGAAGCTGTACCCCTGATTGCCATAATGACAAGAAGCTGTACCCCTGATGGCCGTAATGACAAGAAGCTGTACCCCTGATGGACGTAATGACAAGAAGCTGTACCCCTGATGGACGTAATGACAAGAAGCTGTACCCTGATGGGACGTAATGGACAATGAAGCTGTACCGTAATGACAAGAAGCTGTACCCTTGATGGCCGTAATGACAAGAAGCTGTACCCTGATGGAGCCACCCCTAATGACGTAATGAAGCTGTACCCTGATGGCCATAATGACAAGAAGCTGTACCCCTGATGGCCGTAATGACAAGAAGCTGTACCCCTGATGGCCGTAATGACAAGAAGCTGTACCCCTGATGGCCGTAATGACGAGAAGCTGTACCCTGATGGCCGTAATGACAAGAAGCTGTACCCTGATGGCCATAATGACAAGCTGCTGTGGCCCCTGTTGATTGCCATAATGATGATGGACGTAATGACAAGAAGCTGTACCCCTGATGGACATAATGACGAGAAGCTGTACTCGTGATGGCCATAATGACGAGAAGCTGTACCCTGATGGACGTAATGACAAGAAGCTGTACCCCTGATGGCCATAATGACAAGAAGCTGTACCCTGATGGACGTAATGACAAGCAGTTGTACCTGTACCCGTTTTAGAAGTTGTTCCAATGCTATTGCCGTATTGTGACAGTAGGTTGTAGCAGTGTTAGGACAGCACTGATGTTGTGCCAGTGGTAGAACCACACTGACAGCCTGTGTTGTACAGCAACGTCGCCCATTGATTTGTTGGTCCAGGAAATATCGTCTTCAGGATGTTACAAACTTCAGGCATCGTTCTTTTGTGAAGAACCTTTGGTCGGAAAAACGGAAGTCATGATATGAGCACTGATACATTGTGTTTGTGTGTGTTATTGTGTGTTATTGTGTGTTATTGTTTCCGAATTTTCGTTTGTCCAACCTCATTTGTAAAGCGCTAGAGCGTAATGAGCACGCGCCGCCTCAGCTGACGCCCCAATGCAGTACTAATACATGGTACATACATTGTAAAAAGCTCATATTGTCAAATATGTTAAAATATATGATTTTTAATAGCCGCAAGTTTCATCACAAGTCCAAAGACTGGTCAACAATTATCAGAAATTGACTTAATCGATAATGTCCGTGTTGACTGTAAACAGCCACGGTGGCATGGCAACTTGAAGCACTGCATGTGTATATTTCCACATACTGCATCGTATTGCCAGTCTGTATTGAATTCAACACGTGAACAAAACAGATCGGATAGAAAACATAGCGTCATAGGAACGATTCCGTTGTTTTGGGGAAACGTAGAATTCCCCCCACCCCATACACGCACTATTATACTGTTTTGTTTTCAGTACAAATTAAGACTCATATACAAAATGGTGTTCTCCGATATCTGAGAAAACCGATCGATTGAAATGAAGTCCGATGACCAATTGGTTAACTTGTCGATAAATGAACAACAAGGAGAGTTCTAAGTTTATACAACTTCTGTAATATAATATGAGTGACGTTTCGGTGTAGCTTCTAAAACACCGTTATCAAGCAAGTGATGGTGTTCATCACACCAACTTCTAAATGCCACTCAAAGAAGTTGTCGATATATACCTGGCCCTTACTGTAGAAACACGTGGTCGAAATATAACAGGATATCATTGCCAGGGATGGACGGGGGAGTCGTTTCCTGGTACAGTTTCCTGTGTGTCGGTAGAGTGAGCGTCCATGTGTAACTGCAGGCTGGTAACTAGACGTGAGTGCTGTCATCTGTCAGTCCAGTAATAACTGGTATGTGTTGTGTGTGTGGGGAGATGGGTAAGACGGCAGTCACGCATCCCGAGGGTCATTCCTTGTTCAGGCAGGGGGGAACCACGTGGCGACCTCTGTCGTCAGTTGATGGGACTGAGAGAGATAGTGATACAACCAACCAATCCGCTGAGGACAAAGAACCCAACAGCTTGGAGGAAGTCCGATAATTGATTGTTTTGACAAATACCTTTACCACATTCTGTGTTGACGTTCCATTTGTGTCGTTCTGCTTAAATCACGAATAAGCTGAAAGCTATTTCCTAAGCAGAAAACCTGTTATTTTGCTGGTTTTATACTCATTAAAGAGAGACATACATCAAACATAGTCTTTGATTGATTTGTGTATTCATATCAGTGTACACACGTCTCACGCCCGTAGTACAACACTGTAGTCTGTTAATAAGCTGAACGGAAATTGACAGACCCGACATCATTTATGTCCCAAGTCCGAGGCCGTCTTGCCACAACGAAGCAGTAATCAATCACAAATACAGATATTTATCGCTTCAATACGTAGTTTGATATCAAGTCAATGTTCCTGTCTCTGCCCATCCGTGATACCGGTTCAACAGTTCATCTAACTCATTGAAGGCACTCTGCACATTTCACCTGAATAGTGTATTCTGAATATTTTATATTTACCACACACAGATACAGATTTACCACAGATACCAGCTGCGGGAATTATTCATCTTAATTCAGCTACACAACCATTGAATGATATGAAGTAATAACATGGAATAACAATTAGAAATTGATATTCGATTTGCATGCACCTGTGTATGTGCGGTCGCTCTGTTGTGTACTAGTTGCCTATCTGCTATGCCGGTCCTGCACTGAGATGGGCTACACACACGTGTTGGAAGTTAAAAATGGTAAAATCGGATGTTCACTGAAAGATCAATGTCTTACACTGTGTGATTTCAGGTCTTCACATCTATTCAACCATACAGAGAAGTGAATGCCTTATACTGTTTGGTTTTAAATCTTCACATCTATTCAACCATACACAGAAGTCAATGCCTTATACTGTGTGGTTTTAAGTCTTCACGTCTATTCAATACACAGAAGTCAATGTCTTACACTGTGTGATTTCAGGTCTTCACGTCTATTCAACCATAGACAGAAGTCAATGTCATATCCAGTTTTATTCCACAGAGATCAATGATCAGCAAGTTGGCTTTCTAACCTTTCTTTAGATCTGCAGAATTCATGCTATGCTATTTTATATCAATCTGAAGGTTATTGGCAAATCGGCCAAGTTAGTCCGTGGAACGCTGGGTACATGCCCTGTGTAACGTGTCTGACATCCATAGAGTATACCACGCTTCCTTTGTTTGAATGTTGTGAATAAACCAAAGGAGACAGATATGTATATCCAGTACTCACTCACAACACTATTGATATAGTTCACACCACGGTCACCGTATATATGTAATACTGAAGCTGCCAATTCATAGGCATTGTGAATGTTAACGTTATCCACCATGTTAACATTATCCGCCATGTTAACGTTATCTGTCATGTTAACGTTATCCACCATGTTAACGTTATCTGCCATGTTAACGTTATCCACCATGTTAACGTTATCCACCATGTTAACGTTATCCGCCATGTTAACGTCATCCACCATGTTAACGTTATCCACCATGTTAACGTTATCTGCCATGTTAACGTTATCTGCCATGTTAACGTTATCCGCCATGTTAACGTTATCTGCCATGTTAACGTTATCCACCATGTTAACGTTATCCCCATGTTAACGTTATCCACCATGTAAACGTTATCCGCCATGAGGAAATCTTCGAGGAAGGTGGAGGAATTCAGACAGGTTGGTTTGGGGTGTACATGACATGCACACCACAGGTATCGCGAGTGAGAGTTAATCAGACACTGCGGATAACAAAATGTAAGTAAAATCTTATCGAATAATTTAGCCACCAAATAACACTCTCCGCGATAAAACGGTTCTAATTGCTGGTGTTACAGATCCCAGTGGTCATCTGAAGCCGAAGAGACTTGATTCTCATTGTGAACAAGTGCCACAACACCGACGGAGAAACAAACTTGAATGACAGCATCGTGTGAAGAGAACCATAATGGCTGAATGTTTGTCAACATGGTCACGAGTAACAATGACACATTTAACTAAATCAATAAGGAGCTAGTTGTCAGCCAGACCACACGTGTGGGTATCCTATTGGAAATATCCACAATTGCCGACAGAAGCACATCGATATCTTATGTCAGTAAAACAGTCTGTGGACTGAGCCTCCATCACGCCTATATTGATCCATGGAGGGTCGCGTGGCACGCTCTTGTACACCATGCCAGCAATCTGTCTAAATATTTCATACAGGTTTTATTGTTGTGACCAAGCTAACATACTTCCGGTAGTTGACCACGTTTGACCTTCCATTGTACTAAGCACGTTTATATCGCACAGTACACGACCCTATCGATCAGATACGACGGTGTGGCCGCCGTGCATGCCGCTACCTCAAGAGCAAGCACAACGCTATGTCCCCTCCTGGTTGATGATACAGTTACAGTCTGCGAGACTGTTTGCCTGAGACATGAAGACGTTACAAGACACTGAACATTAGCTAGCTAAAGATTATTGTAGTGCGGCCATGTTGGACACGCCCTTTACCGACTGACCTGCAATAGTAAGCGGTGTCGCCAGCTGCATGACCAGAGCCCCTCTCATCCGATCCCCGGAATAAAACACAAGTTCCGAGTGTTCCAGGTTAAGATCCACGGACGCCGAACCAGCCGACGCCATGGCTGTGGTAGCAGCAGCAGCAGTTCGACCAGCGATTTGGCTGCTAGTCAGTGGGGCACTTTTCCCGCCATCTTACTTGTGATCATCTCGACTATTCCACGTACATCTCGTGCCACTCGCCTCCACGTGCCGAGATTTGTCACAATCACCATGGAAACGTGCCATGTCATTGTCATCAGATTTCACTGGCACATGTTGATCAATGAGCGAAATCACGTTAATCACAGGGACAGCGACCACATCGTTTGCTGACAGCGGCGGCCACGGAGATGTGGCATCATGATGGAGAAGGAGTCGGTGTATCACAGACCACGCTGCCTGCTCGGCTCCTCCAGCCTTTACTCCGATCGATGCGGACTACGGGGGGACACTCGCCCGGCAATTACAATCCAGCTTTTGAATAACAAGTTATAACGTTGCAGTTTTAGCACATACCATGACCAATTAGATGTCTTCTCGACGTTTCTGTTAAAAGATGTTTCATGTCGAGAAGACATCTCCAGGTTAAAAAGTTTCCCATGAAAAGAGGAGATTGTTTTGCTTTAGTTCCACGTGTGTGTCTGATGAGGCGCCTCAGATGCAATTAAAGGTAATCGCCGAGGTTCAGGTTGCCATGACAACATCACAATACCGTAGCTGTGTGTCCACATTACATTTAAGAATATTTTGTACTTTTAAATACAATACGTTCATTGGTGGTGTCATGTTGTTTGAAAGATGTGATAAGTTCTGCGCCCGAGGAGGAATTACGTAATCCTTCGTTGTGGTTATGGCCTGATGCTACGGATGTATATCTACAAAGTACGAAATCATTTGGCCACTGTTTACTTTATGTCTGTACAAATGTGATCTTTCGATATTTGACAAATTGAGGAATTAACAGTGATGAGGTATTTGTAGAAAAAGGTGCATTTGAGTTGCAAGCTATCGAAGAGGCCTAAAGGTGGAGTCTTCCTATGTGAGTTACGAACTTATCCTACATTTCAATCACTGTTTAAGCAATATTAAGCTCAGAATTATGAAACTGCAATTGTGTAGGTTCGAAATTCGGGCACAACTCGGGGGTAGGCCAGGTAGAGGGTTAGCCGGGGACACGCAATTCCAAATACGGTTCTAAATATATTTGTGATATACCACAGATGCCAACAGACATCATTCAGAGTTCACAGATGACATTTCAAATCACATTCCTGAATAAAAGTATTCTTGTTGAACGCGATGCGATGTTAATATTAATATTAAAGTCAGCGTTATCAATATCCAAATCAGCGCCACACCGACGTGTGCGTAATTAAATCCGTACTTGTCACAATACGGGTAACATGTAGTTGGTTTTACAAGTACGCTGTACTGATAACCTCCAGGTGAAGTTCAGTGATCTCTGCTGCAGGTTAAAGGCGTACTGTCAATCAGTTTCCCTAGCAGATAAATGACTTTTGTGGCGTTACGTTTATTAAACATGATAACGTGAATGGCGTTAATTAGAACCTGTGTAATGAAACGGCAACACCTGTTACGGAATCGTCCACGTGACCAAGCCTACTCAGAGGTTGAAGATGTCGCCGGTCAACAGATCAATGTTCAAAGCCCTCATATCCCCACCCCCAACCCCGGGGACGTACACCGGCACAGCAGCCTCTCCCACCCAAGAATGCCTGCATCCCTATATAGGCCCTGCTTAGTAATTAAATAGCCGTGATATCGCTATGTCTGTTGGCCTACTATTTATAGTAATAATTACTGTAATGGAGTGCACTTCTGGCGGATGAGCAAATTAAGCCCACGTTCAGGTCACACATTATGCATCAACGTCTTCATCAGTCCTCACACAGCACTTCACTCAGAGTCTCACACAGCCTTCACTCAGTCCTCACACAGCCTTCACTCAGAGCCTCACACAGCCTTCACTCAGAGCCTCACACATCCTTCACTCAGACCTCACACAGCCTTCACTCAGTCCTCAAACAGCCTTCATTCAGTCCTCACACAGTCTCTACTCAGTCTTCACACAGCCTTCACTCAGACCTCACACAGCCTTCACTCAGTCCTCACACAGCCTTCACAGCCTTCACTCAGTCCTCACACAGCCTTCACTCAGTCCCTCACACAGCCTTCACTCAGTCCTCACACAGCCTTCACTCAGAGCCTCATACAGCCTTCACTCAGTCCTCACACAGCCTTCACTCGGAGCCTGACACATCCTTCACAAAGAACCTCACACATCCTTCACACAGCCTGCACACAGCCCTCAGTCACTCCTCATTCTGTCATCACAAGGTCCCCATCCACCCTCACACAGCCCGAACTCACTCCTCGCTCAGCCGTTACTCAGAATCTCACACTTCCTTCACACGACCGTCATTCCGCCCTCACACATCCCTCACACATCCCTCACTCTGCCCTCACACATCTCTCACTCTGCCCTCACACATCCCTCACTCTGCCCTCACACATCCCTCACTCTGCCTTCTCTCAGCCAAACACGGCCTCCTAACAGAGGATATTCCGCTGTGTTCTGTGAATATATACATGGAAACATCGCCACAGCCGTAATAAAGAATCTTGTCGTTGGGCATCAGCCTTTCTAACACGTCACAGTTAAAACATTTTGTGTTACGTGCCGCTAAACATGCACCGTATTGTGAGACAGTTACTGCTTGTGTCTATTATTTATCTCACTTCGCATAATATTAAACGTAAAAAACAAAAATACTTAGTCTCCACTATGCGCGAAGCACGGCCAACCGGGCGCAAAGTGCAGTAGAGTGATGGAAACCGCAGGAATCGATGACAATTACGATAACCACAGGGTGTGAAGTGATCCTCGCCTCTGTCTGCTGGAATAGTTGCCTCAGATCCTCTTCTGTGTCAGTGCAAGTTTTGTGAACAGATTTAGTTTTGTGAATCCCATTTTATAGTGTTTGAGATTTGTCCATCCTTCCTGCAAGTATTATAAAAGCCTTTGGGAATAACTTTAAGACTTGAGTAAGAGCTGTTGAATTCCTATGAACTATTAGAATATCGCAATGAATTAGAGATAACAATATCTCATTTCACCCACATGTTTTATCGACTTATCTCTCCATTAAATTTGTACTGGTATCTAGTATAACGTTTGCATTGGTATCTGGTATTACATTTGTATTGGTGTCTAGTATCTGGTATTAGAGCATGCTTCCTTTGTCTTCGACCATACTATAACCATCCGACCATACTATAACCATCCGACCATACTATAACCACCCGACCATACTATAACCACCCGACCATACTATAACCACCCGACCATACTATAACCACCCGACCATACTATAAACCACCATACTATAATCCCACCCGACCATACTATAACCACCCGACCATACTATAACCATCCGACCATACTATAACCACCCGACCATACTATAACCATCCGACCATACTATAACCATCCGACCATACTATAACCATCCGACCATACTATAACCATCCGACCATACTATAACCATCCGACCATACTATAACCACCCGACCATACTATAACCACCCGACCATACTATAACCACCCGACCATACTATAACCATCCGACCATACTATAACCATCCGACCATACTATATAACCACCCGACCATACTATAACCATCCGACCATACTATAACCATCCGACCATACTATAACCACCCGACCATACTATAACCACCCGACCATACTATAACCATCCGACCATACTATAACCATCCGACCATACTATAACCACCCGACCATACTATAACCATCCGACCATACTATAACCACCCGACCATACTATAACCATCCGACCATACTATAACCATCCGACCATACTATAACCATCCGACCATACTATAACCATCCGACCATACTATAACCATCCGACCATACTATAACCATCCGACCATACTATAACCACCCGACCATACTATAACCACCCGACCATACTATAACCACCCGACCATACTATAACCATCCGACCATACTATAACCATCCGACCATACTATAACCACCCGACCATACTATAACCATCCGACCATACTATAACCATCCGACCATACTATAACCAACCAATTCGACCATACTATAACCATCCGACCATACTATAACCCACCATTCGACCATACCATGAACCATAACCACCCGACCATACTATAACCATCCGACCATACTATAACATCCGACCATACTATAACCAACCCGACCATACTATAAACCATTCGACCATACTATAACCAATTCTGACCATACTATAACCACCCGACCATACTATAACCAACCTGACCATACTATAACCCACCCGACCACCTTCGACCATACTATAACCACCCGACCATACTATAACCACCCGACCATACTATAACCATCCGACCATACTATAACCACCCGACTATACTATAACCACCCGACCATACTATAACCACCCGACCATACTATAACCATCCGACCATACTATAACCATCCGACCATACTATAACCATTCGACCATACTATAACCATCCGACCATACTATAACCATCCGATGTGGCGGTCACAACCCGGACGGAACTACTTTCTCAAATGAAAAGAACAATTTCGACTATAATTACTTTTTATTACTTTTAATGACAACAGACACTGAAATCGCGACGCGATCGTCCGTCACACTTTGCGAGACTGCGGGCGTGGTAGGGGTAGCTACGTCGCTTTCCTCCGTAGTTTCCAGTGCTGTGCATCGAATTTCATCATCTTCAGAGTTTTCACTTATTGTCAAAAAACTCACACTGTGAAGCTGGAATTAACGTATCGTCGCTGTCGGTCCCACTCATACCTGCTGCGTAATGAAGAGACATGTGCGCGGAGACCGTGTGTTTGTAAAGGTGAGATTTCCGAAAAGCACGTGCTTTACGTCCTCGGTTCATTAACCATCCTTGATGAGGGCCCGAAATGAAATCCTATGTACCCCTGAAGCTGATTAATTAAAGAGCATCGGGCCGCTTTCTCAAGACGACCTTCGATAACTGGTAAAGACATATTAGCGTTGATTTAACGACGATAGCGACTGTACGTGCCTTTAGGTAGAATACAGAATATAACACACATTAGCACGTGCCGTTCATGACATAAGTCGACCGCACCACAACCTTGCTTGCGCTTAAAAAACTATAGTCCATTCATTAAATTACAGACGCGTACCAAATAAATATTACTCTTTTATTTTATTAAAAGCAATATTTGTGTGCATGCTCTAAGTAGGTTAGAAGACTCGGACACGTTCTGTAACCGCCTTAATCCACGGTTACAGAACGCGTCCTCGTCTTCTAACCTATACTTACATTTGCCCTAGTATCTGGTATCTAGTATTACATTTGCATCTTTTGTGCTGGTCTGGTAATCACTGAATGTCCGATTCGTACATCCACCACACGAACATGTCCATCTCGTCCTGGATATGTCTTCACAATCCTGCCAAGGGGCCACTGTCCTCGTGGAGTGTCCGGAGAAATCACAAGAACAACATCGTTGGCACACAGGTCTCTGCTTGGAGTTCTCCATTTCCGTCTTGGGTTCAGACTTGGGAGCTATTCTTTCATCCAGCGCTTCCAAAAGTGTCTCATCAATTCTTGAATACGTCTCCAGCGCTTTCATGGATGGTAATCTGTAGTGTCTACGGATTCTGGAGCAAATATCCCTCCGATCTGGCCGTGCAGGAAGTGATTCGGTGTCAGAGGAATCACATCTTGGGGATGAGTTGACTGATAGGTGAGAGGACGCGAGTTGATCAGGGCTTCAGCTCCAGTAAATGCAGTTTCCAGTTCCTCGTCTGTGACATCACCATTCCCCAGGATAGCGAAGATGGCACGTTTAGCCGATTTTATCATCGTCTCGAATACCCCTCCAAAGTGTGGCGAGTATGGAGGGTTGAAGTGACATTTCACTCCTCGATTAGCCAGGGAACGTTGAACAGCGTCTTGATCCAGATTGCGAAAAAGTTCCTTGAGTTCTTTAACGGCACCAACAAAGTTGGTTCCGTTGTCCGATATGACCTCTTGTGGTAGGCCTCTTCGATTTACCATTCTGTAGAAAGCACTTGTGTCCAAGCTATATGCCATCTCCAGGTGAACGGCTCGAGAAGTTAAACATGTGAATAAACATAAATAACGTTTTTGACGTGCCTTTCCTCTGCCTTGCACTGTGATAAATGGCCCAGCATAATCCACCCCAGTCTGGCTGAATGCACGGAGTGACTTTTGGAGTCTCATTTTCGGTAATGGTGCCATCAGTGGACAAGCAGGTCTTGCTTTGTCCCTATGACATCTAGCACATTCCCTCTCCCATTCTCGTATAGCTTCTCGTCCTGAGATAGTCCAGTACGTGCCCGGCACAACAGCCAACGTCTGGTTTGTTCCCAGTACATGTTTACCGTCCTCGTGATACTGTTTTATTATGAGCTTTATCACCCAACTTTTGCGAGGCAGAATTATTGGAAATCTTGCTCCAAGAGGCAAACATTCAGCATCACCTAGGCGCCCACTCATTCTCATGACTCCATGTTCATCCAGTTGTGGCTGAAGTGTAAGGAGTTTAGAACTGGAAGGCAACATCTTCCCTGATAGCAAAGCAGCATATTCTACTGAAAATGACTCCTCCTGTGCACGGGCAATGACTCTGTGTTCAGAGTCTGCTATTTCTTCTGCTGTAAGTTCACCTTTCATTCTGTATTCACCTGAAGTTGAACAGTTATGTAAGAATCTGTATACCAAGGCATTGCTACGTGTGAGTTTTCTCCAGCTGGAGAATTTCGAAGGTGCAAGTCTGCTCCTCTCAAGATCAGGGTTTTGTATAGCAGCAAGAGCAACCTGCTTCTTGCTAGTTTTTCTTTCTTTGTCATCCTTTAAGATGTCAAGTGACAATGTTTTGTTTGATGGCCATTCACATTCCGCTCTTAGCAGAAAAGTAGGTCCAGACCACCACAACTGGTTGTTTATCAAACTAGAAACCAGCACACCTCTTGTAGGAAGATCTGCAGGATTTTCTGCAGAAGGTATCTGTCGCCACTGAGTTGGGTTTGTGGTACTATGTATTTCACCAACTCTGTTGGCAACAAAAGGTTTGAAAGTACGACTGTTGTTTTTAATCCAGCACAAGACATTCATGCTGTCTGACCAGAAAGTAACCGTTTCAATCTCAATCTGAAGGATCTGGACTACTTCACAGGTAAGTCTGAGACCAAGTACAGCTGCCATCAGTTCAAGGCGTGGTATGCTACAAGCTTTCAACGGAGCTACACGACATTTTGCAGCAACTATCCTGCTAGACTTCTTCCCGTCCAGGTAAGTATACAACAGTTCCGTATGCATCCTGTGATGCATCAACAAAGGTGTGAATAGATACTGAACAAACCTCAGCGAGAAGACGCAAACATCTTGGCACCTGAACAGCTTTTATTTCTTGCAATTGTACTAACCATTTTGCTATTTTCTGTTGCAGGTGTTGGGGCAGTTCATCATCCCAGTCATGTCCCGTTAACCACATTTCTTGTAATAGTATCTTTGCAGTGATGGTGAATGGTCCTATGAATCCTAGCGGATCAAACAGTCTTGCAATTCGGCTAAGAAAACCTCTTTTGGTGGATTCTTGTTGAATAAACGTTCCCGCTTTGAATGTGAAAATATCTTTTTCGGCAATCCACATTAGCCCGAGGGCTTTTACTGAAGGCAAATGACCCTTAGAAAGATCAATTTCAGAAGCTCTATCTTCTTCAGGAATTTTATCTAGGACTTTAAGTGAATTGGACAACCATTTTCGAGCATGCATTGAAGCACTAGACCATAACTGAGTTAACTGGTTGTACAGTTCTATGCCTTCATCGGCATTCTCTACTGAGTCTATGCTGTCATCCATATAGGTGGATTTCATGACAGTTTCTGCAGCCAGAGGAAGGTCTACAGTATGTGTCTTAGCATGTTCCTGGGTTACAAACTGAGCCAGGAAAGGAGAAGAGGTGTTTCAAAATACAACACGACTGAACTCATACACCTCAGGAGGTGAATCTGTATTCATAGATCTCCAGAGAAATCTGTGGTATGGTCTATCTTCTGGTGATATTTTGATCTGCAAAAACATCTCTGCGATATCACAAATGAGGGCTACCGGTTTTCTTCTGAACCGTATCAGCACATCAAAGAGGTCACTGTGAACCTTCGGACCTGGACTTATTACGTCATTCAATGATGTGTCTTGGTACTTTGCCGAAGCATCAAAAACCATACGGACTTTTGTTGTGGCTTTATCTGGGCGCAAGATTGGGAAATGAGGAAGATACCACACATCTTCTCTTGATTCCTCATGATCTACTTTACGGATGTATCCTTTCTCAACATATTGCGAGATGATTTTGTCATAAGCTAGTGCTGTGTTCTTGTCTTTGGATAATTTCTTTTCAGTGCTAAGCAACCTACGGAGTGCCATATCATAGTCATTTGGCAATGATGGACCATCCTTCCATGGGATACCAATCTGATATTGGTTATTCTCATAAACTAAGGTACCGTGTGCTTTGTGAAGAGCCTGCTCATCATCTGGTTTATGGGGTTTGAGAGGAGTCTTAAACTCTTCAATTTCCCAAAATTATTTCACCAGTGAGCATTATTCACTGTCGTTGCAGTACGAATGATATGTATATGCACAGTGTGTTTGGGAGGTAGCCTGACTGTTTAGATTGCCTATGCATGTCCATCCAAGGGGCGTTCTCCTTCCAATAGGATCACCTGTGTCCCCACAAAAATCTTCATATGACTGATGCAGATGCAAATTGTCAATACAGTCGTGCCCCGTTTATCCGAACACTTGTGTTTTTCTTGAAATTGTTCGGATAAACGAATTTTCGGATATCTGAACCGAGGACCATATGGAAAAAGACAGACAAACAAACGAACATAATAAGCCTCAGACGTATTCTTTATTGATTGATTGATCAACAAATAACAAATACTGTAAACGTATTATATTTCGCGCAGGTTTTATTTTCGCGCTTTTGAAGACAGAAATCTACGGGAATCTTAAAATGACGACTGATAGTAGCATAAAGAATCATACTTAACTGTCGCTGTAATGGATTTCCCAAAACATAATTAAATAATGAGCCAAATCCCATCGCCGAATTAGCGAAAACAGCAATGTGTGTTGTGGCCGCCATGGAAATTGGTCACATGACAGATGGTTTGATACAAAACAGATTACCATGAAACGACTCGGAAAGAAATAATACAGCAGTATTTTATTTATTCATTAAGATTTTATTTACCAGTACATCATGAAGCGAATAGTCACTTAACACTCAATCATCTCATTCACAACAACCCGGCTTGTTTGAAATCACAAAGAGCTTCATATACAGTAGAAGTTAATTCGTCAGATCGTCAGAATTCGGAACATAAGACTGATGTGTTTTTCATCTCTTCCGTGAGTAAACAACGGGGACGTCTAGCCTTGCCAATAACAATTGACAGGCCTCAAGATTAACTCAGTGTCACCTTGCTAATTAAGGGCTTGTTTCATGTTAGGGCACGCAAGGCCACTCGGTAAAATGCGCGTGTAAACATACTGACAGGTGCTCAGCCATCCGGATATACGAGAAAAAATGCATATGATTTTGTGAATTCGTTTTAATGAATTTTCGTTCGGAAGGCGAGTTTTCCGGATATCTGAGGTTCGGATAAACGGGGCATGACTGTACCTATCAGGAGATCAATTATTGGACGTCTCCCAACTTTAGGAAAGCTTATGTTTTCTAAGTGATTCCATTTGTGTCTGTACTTCTGCCAGTCAATTACCTGAAGGTCACCTGTAACCCTAGTTGTAGTCAGTGCAGACATTTCCTCATTCACTCTGCCATCTTCACTTTCAATCTCAAATGTAACAGGCCTCGTCTCAAATGTTTCTTTCTTACCATTCAAGACACTCACAGATATCTGCTCTATTGACCCCTGCATCCCTAATTCTGAAGCCACATCAGCATTGATATATGACCTAGTACTTGCATCATCCAACAATGCGTTAACACGAATCCTTTTATTTCCGTTCTTCAGCACTACTGGGACTGTCCTAAGGGCTATGCGAGGTTGGTCATTATCCCATGGCATAGTCGCATGTGCCCTTTCAGAAATACCCTGATCATGACCTTTTGTTTCAGAACTTACCTGAGTATTTTTCCTATACACAACTGAACCATTTTCCAAGTCCAGATTGCGTTGTGCAATGTTTATTTTGAGTGTGTCATCATGTAAAAGCCTATTATGGGTTTTCGAACACCCATTGATCCCACACCTATATGTGTATCTACATTGTGCACCACGATGATTGCCACCAAGACAGCGGAAACATAATTTCAATTTCTTAGCAGTGTTCCATCTCTCGGAAACGCTCATGTTTTTGAACACATTACATTTCCATAACACATGCTGTTCACCACAAACTTTGCATACAACATCCCTGTGTGACCTTCTAATTTGTCCTATCTCACTGACAAACGAGCACGATTCTTTTCTTTTACTCTTATCAGAAACACCATGTATTGTCTCTGCAGCTATTGTTTGGTATTCAGCTTCCTGAAGTACCCATTCTCTTAACGTCTCGACTGACTCTTGTCTATCTCTATCATGAAGCCACCTTTGGTACTGAGCTACCATAGATTCAGTCATTTTCTTTTGTAGTGTGGCATACAATAACCCATTACCTAGCTCTTCTACTCTATCTGCTTCTCTCAGACTAACGACTGCAATGTCCAAGACATCGGCAAATCTTTGAACATCTCTAGCAGAGCCTGGGCGAATAGGCTTCAAATTTGTCACTTCTTCTAACTGTAACGCTACTTGACGCCTCCTACCACCATACTTCCTATCTAGACGTTCTAACGCAGTATCATAGGCCACAGCACTATGTCCCAAACCTTGAATTGCTTTCAACGCGTCACCAGCCAGATATTGCCTCAGCTGCAATAACTTCTATTCAGCAGTCGCTGGTGCTTGGTCTGTGCATGTCAGAAACGCAGCTTTCCAACTTTCGTAAGATTTTACATCACCAGAAAATACTGGGATAGAAACACGTTTAAGTTGTTTCCATAAATCAGTTCCTATTGCATGACTGTGCGACTCTGCTTCATAACAAGGTGTGCTTTTCTGTGGTTTGCTTTGAACACAATGTTTATTAGTTACTTTGTTGTGAACACTTGGTTCACCTTCTGCAGATTGTTGTTGAGATTTAAACAATCTAGAAAGTCCCTTACTTGACGTAGACGTTGCATCTGCATTACTATCTAAGTGAGCTTGTGCCTGTTCAACTACAGCATTAGTTTCATCTTCAAGATGACTAATTTCTTTTTCAGTTTTAGTAACATTTTCACCCTGCTGATTCTTTGCATACGCTAAGGCCAGTTTTGTCATAACATTGATTGCTTTCACCTGACTTTCATTTACTTTATTTAAACCATCTCTTATGTCTGTACGAGATGGTTGATTAGGTGATTCTAGTAGACTGTACAACTTATTTTTAGCTTTGGTGAAGGCTGACTTTGCATTGGTTTTTTGTTGTTTCAGTTTCAAAATGCCCTCGAGTTGTGACTGAGACCCGTTTGGATGTTGGGGTTTTAACTGACCATTTTTTACAGAGCCTTTTTCCTGTATGTCAGACATAACTGATTAATTGACTTACCGCT